TGAAATAAATGTTTCGAAATCTGGTTGCAGTCAGTAACCTCACACTAACTGTAAGACGTTCACCTTCATTCTCCCAATAACGCGGAATTATGTTCACAACGTAAAGATATTAAAAATGGCTTATTTCATCGGAACAATGAATAGGCTAGAAAGCGAATCTTTCGTCACAAGACTCCCGACCGATGGCTGCTCCCTTGACATGGTGGTCGGACTTGCATGTCTCAATGACCCAACAAGTCACGCTGACTGGTAATAATGTCCCTGCAGGTCCTACCATGCCATGAAGAATGTTAGGATAGCAATTAGACTAAAAGCAGTTTCTGGTATAGTGTAAGATTTAGTCTACACCATGGTGGTGGTCCGTGGGCAAAGTCGTACTGGTGGATAATAGGGATGTACCAGGAGTTAGGTGTTACCCCCAGATGACCAGCATGTCAGCCACCTATCCTGTCTCTCCACTCTAGAGAGAGGAGATTGAAAGATGTCGAACCCCGAAAATTGTACATCCCAACTTACCCTACGTTGGTCTGTAGGTGGCAGTAAGTTACTAATATGGAACCAAATCAAAAGCCAGTTCAGACAGGCCATGTGTGATCGGCCTCAAGAAGTTGTTCCCATTCGCTCTGCGGTCACGAAACACCATCTCTCTTTCTGTTTCGGGTACTCCAAGAATAAATCGACTTCAGGGTGTGGGCAGCAGAGATGTAACAACCATATATACACATACACTTCCAAATCCACACGAAGCCCTCCCGATCATCCCCCTACTTTATCCACATCACCCTCATCACCTTGCCTCCTTACTACTGTCGGTTCTATTCTGTAGGCTAGTCAGTCATCTTCATTTCATTCTGGGCTACCGATATCACATGCTAGAAATGCAATAGTTGTACCATAATACAGAGTGAAATCAGTATAAATTATTTAAATTAATCCCAGCATGTTGAAGAAAATCAAAACAAGATTTTTCTGAACGTTTCACTGTGTAAGCCACAGCTTCTTCAGCAGATTTACTCGAAAAGTATCGTTGATGAGGGTCAGCAGAAGACTGTCGCTCCCTCTGGAACAGGTGAGTAGAATCCAAACACGTCCTGATTCGCTCACGATTTTGTTTACGATTTAATGTACATAAAACTCTGTTGGCAGCGAAGCAGTTGCGTTCTCAACTAGATCAAGATACTGAGTCTCTATTTAAGAAAGAATAGCTAAATGGGTATCTGAGGTCGATAGCGAAACTCCTTCTAAAGAAGCCTGGCACAAAATACAGTTAGATATAGGCACACCTGTAGAGGCTGTTAATAACCTGAAACCAAAGGTTAGTAATAGCCAATGGATTTCTACTACTTGATCCGAACTAACAGACGCAAGATCACTGATTCCAGCGAGTTTAGAATATGATGAGGAGCGAAAGCTGCTCATACTCAAACTAAGAAGAGGTCTTCACAACGATTGTGAACAGTGGTAAGCGATAGAAGTGAAAGAGATGGATAGGCATAGGCGATAGGTAACACCAGACAACTGTTTAGACTTATCAGGGGAACAGGTGGGCAACGCAAAATGATAAGTGAAATAATCTCTGAGAAAAAATGCCACTTTAATTAGCTCTTAGGATAGGCGACTAGAACGTTGGAAGAATACCACGAGGAGCAATTTAACAGGCCTACAGCACGCCCAACTTAACCTGCATCCAACACCTCCCTGAATGGGATATACACAGAGTTCCTATATCTGTAACTGGGGTTACAAAAGCTGTCACTAGTCTCGAACGAGGCAAAAAGTGGGACAATGGGACAATCTCATTGATTTAGAATAAGCAGATGATATAGTCCTTCTAGGTGAAGACGCTGAAAATATGTAGTCTTCTGGACATCTTGAGCAGCAAGCTGAGAATGTTCGGCATCCGATTCGCTCCTTGAAAATGTAAGATGATGGTACAGGACTGAACTACATCGACTACTCCTCTCTTAGAGATAGGGAGTGAAGTAGTGAAGCGTGGAAACCACTGCAGTTATTTGGGAAGTTGCATCAGCCGGTGCCAGTGGGTTGATTGCTGACGAAATCTCAGCACGGATACAGAAGACTCGTTTGGCATATGCCAACATACACCATCTCTGGCTTAGTAGACGTGATATCCGGCTGTCGACCAATCGACGTGTGCACTGCACTTCAAGACAGCAGTTCGCTCTGTTCTCCCTTATCTCTGTGAGTGAGGCATGGCCATTGGAAGTGGAAGACATGGAAAGCCTGGCTAGCTGTCTTTGATCATATGTGCCTGAGTTCTGTCTTCCGCGTTAAGTGGTATAACAGGATGAGCAATATTGATGTTAGGCTTCGGTCGAGGGTTAGTTAAGGAGGGGAAATCAATCGACGAAGCTATGGAGCTACATCGATTGAGATGGTTAGGATATGTGTTACGCATGCATGCATGCCCAACTAACGATCCCCTTCCTCGACAATGGGCAATGTTAGCTGACATAGGATGGATGAGGTTGAAAGGAGCTGATGTTGGTCAAACCAAAACATGCCATCAGTCAGTGAAATCCACAACAGTTAGCCAATCACTTAAGGAGGTGTAGACTTTGTAGTTGTGGTCCTCGGAATGGCAAAAGCCAATGGCTAGAGACAATTGGTGATATGGCTCGGGATCGTTCTCAGTGGTTGGCGCAGATGCGTCAACTCTTTGTGATTTATAATATCCAATATAATTCTATTGTTTTTCTACATTGCTGTTATTTTTGCCTCATATTTCTGTTTATTATCTCTCCTTTGATTCTCTTTTCTTGCTTTGTGTGCTACTCTGAGTGTAGCAACTCGAACTGCCGCACATCTGAGCAAAGTTCTATGTTGAAACTAGCAGTGAGTCATTCAGAAGACTTGTTCCTAACCGCTTTTAGTCACCTGTATGTATATATACAAGAAGAAAACCAAATCAACCACTTTCCATCAGCCATCAAAACAAAACATTTATACGACTTTCTAAGTAGAGGACTTGTCGGTTGATTAATAATTCTGAATGAAGACCAATATGAAAAACAATGCAATAGTAGCATTCTGCCTCTGAACCCATAACTTTTTCTAAAGGTTTGAAATGTTACACTGCGCATCGACTAACCTATGGATGATTTATAAAAAAGGATTCAATCTAGTTCAATCAGTTTCCCCTACCCTCGCCTATAATCTTTATCTTACAACACTATGTCAATACGAATGAATACCCACCTGTCTACGTCGACACCTGATGGGTAAACTAGTGAATTGATGAAAACGACAAATAACAATAAGCATACCAAAATCATTATTAAAAACGCAGACTACATTTTTTCTGGATGTAAGATAATTATTTATACAATAAGCAAAGAATCAGCCAAACAGACACAAACAAGTTCACGGTGTTCAAAATGGGTAAAAAAAAGTTTCATTTCTTTTGCTCCACAATCAACTATGATGTCAAAATTCTTTGAGCGCACAAATTCTAAGCGGTCAGGACAGTGCTTACTATAGACATATATATCGGTGTTGGCTCTATAACAGCCATAAGAAACAGAGAAATAAAATTTGAATATAATATGTAGAAATCATTTCAAAATAACAAAACAAATTAATGTAAATAATTAAAATTATCATCTTATCTTTGTACATAATTTTGGAAAAATTAAATTAAAAATCAGTGAAAAAGGAAGTTTAAACAACAGAAACAACGACAAGAGCAACAACAAGAACAGTCATAAGAACAGGAATACAAATAAATATAAGCGTAAAACAAGTGTAGTCAGGATCTATTTATGCATGAATGCAGCAAAATGAGAAGGAATTCACTTGGATCAGAAGTAATTCAGAAGACAATTTACACACTTAAACTGACAGTTCGCTTTAGGTTTTTATAATAATAAAAAAGAGAAAGAGATTCTTCACATTTTAGATAGATAGCATAGCATAACAAAATCTGTATTATATTGAACTCAACACAGTAAATCGGTAGCGATAGAAAGTTGGCTTGATAAACTACCCTTACGTACCAAGGCGCTTACTTTATTATGAAAAGCGATATGAGATGAGTAGAAGCTGGTAGATACACTAACACACATGTACGCCCGTATCTATCTCAAATGATGTTCTTTTATTCTCACAGGGATAATAAATAAGGGGGGAGAGAGAGAGACAGAAAGAAGAATAAAAAGGACAACTCTGGTTAACTCTAGATAACATAGAAGTACGGAAGGACGACAGGAAAATCAGATCAGAAGGACTAATAACCCCACAAATGGCTAGACGAGAAAAGCAACTGTTGAGTTTTATGATATAATAAAATCAAGGGTGTTTTATCATATAGATGAATTTGAGAATAAAACAAAACTGAAGACAAGAAAGCAACGTGTGAAAAGATTAAATAAATCTCCACGAATTAAGCACAAAAATTCAAGCATAACAACGATCACTAAAAATATTAGCAAGAACAAGAGCCTTAATTTTGTCCATCTCAAATTTGTACAATAAGAGATACCATCATATCAAGAATGTGTAAATATTGCAGTTAAAAAGATAATTCAAAAATAAAGATAAGCTTACGTAAATACATATACACATGGAGAGAAGTAGATTCTCCAGAATGATTAGTTCCCATTTTGGGAAGTATGAATAAATCAATGAATATAATAATATCGATATCATTGTTATTATTATGCAAACACAACTACAATAGTAGGAATATTATCAAAAACAATGTGAATGATTAATTGATTAGCTGGGCACTAAGGCTTATTGAATTTTCTTCGTCCTCCTGCTTTACATCGTTTTCATTGTCATCATTATCGTAATACGCAGAGGGAGACGCACAGGATAGAAAGTGCATTAAATGGAAGACGAATTATAAAAAAGACAGACATTGTTCTAACTGTCCACATCATCGTAACCGATATTATCGTCATCATTAGAGTTGTGCTGTATCACAGACGGGAGAGAGTGTATTGTATACATTATTACAGATAAACTAAAGCCTTTACTTAGTTTATATTCGAATGTGAATCATTCACCGACGAGTGTATCACATCTTCGCCTGCTGCCAATGATGTGATTAAGTCTGGAACATTTTCCCTTGGTGATGAAGCTTGTACAGTAGGTGGTGCTCCAGGAACAGGAGGATTTTCTGCTTGTGTTCTTGTTGCTGCTGAATTGTCTGGTTCCAAATTCAGTAGGCATGTAGGACAGCTGAATGAACGCATGAGCCATTCATCAATGCATACACGATGATAAGTATGCAAACAAGGCAGATAGCGTACTTCATCACCTAATTTCAAATCATTCATACATATTATGCACCTAAAGAGAAATTGTAACAATAAAATACAGAAAAAATTATATTGATATGTGAATGTGCTTGAAACTAGAGTACACAGGTAAAATCAACACTCGGATATTAAACATATATGCCACGGTAGGGCGTATTAAGAAATACAAAAATTCGAATGTAACGCATGGTTCTCTACCGCGCAACTTGTGACACACTCAGCAGTGCTTTAAATATACGCCTTTATGTGGATAGTTATTATCTTTCCCTAAAAAGTTTCATAAACCACTGATTTATGCTAGAAACTTTGAATGACAAACATTTCACCCATTCACCTTAGCAACAGGATATGTAAACACAACCAAACAGACACGCGCACTACTAACTCCGTATACACATAGAAGTTCGTATATACGGCAATGCAAGAGGTGCGTGCATAAACGCACACATTGCACAAGACAATAATCTAACAAACCAAATATGGAATCAAATAGAACTGGGTATACCCAATAAAAATAGTTTAATATGTCTGCAGCAAATATATAAAAGACCTTACTTCTGTCTCTCATCTTACCTTGTAACGGCTGACAGAAAAATAAACCGTTATATTACCCATAAGTTATTAGGTACGCTAATTGTATGAAAGGTGCTGATAGTATTTAGGTTGAAGTAGGTGGAGGTGCAACTCGAATACGCACTCAAATGGGTGAAGGTCAACGAGTCACATCACCACCACCAACAACAACAACAACACAACAGCATTTAGACTACATTACAGATCATATCTAACACAATACAGCCCTGATGCAAAAGAATGAACATCGCTGAATTTAGAGGTAAATAGCCAACAGTATCTATCACCACGTATTCGTTTTTGCAGGCAGACAGGATTACACAATCCTTGAGTTGAATATTAAAGTTGGTTGTTGCAAATTAACAGATTGGTTTAATAACCACAACTTTCACACACACACACACACACACACACACATGAAAAGTAAGCAGATGAAGCGACCACAAAAAAGAAAAGTTGCGTAAGCGAAATTTAGTGAAAAAAACTGCATTATTTACACTTGTATATACAAATTAGTAGCATAGTTGCCTATAAGGATAATATTTTTATCTTCTGAAAAGCAACTGGTTTAAATCAGCAAATTCTACCAGCGAAACAGAAACAGCTTTGATAAACTCCATAACACATATAGTAAAATATTGCAATATAACAACTGATAGCAGACAACACGTTGCTGAGTCATTCAAGAGAACTAGTGTATTTGGACATATTTATTCTAATGTATTTGTGAATAGCCCTAGGAACATGCTGTTTACTTTCAGTCGAATACAACAATAAAAATTGTTGAATCCACGATACACAATGGCAACGCCACATCTACAATCTCATTTTCAAATTATCAGATTATCATCTGAATTCCAATGACTTTGGCTGAATTCATTTTCTTCCGGGGGGGGGGGGCTACACGAAACAGGGTGTGTTACATGACCGCAGAGCCCAGGAGATAACTGCTTGAGGCCGATCACACACGGCCTGTATGAATTGGTTTCTGGACTGGTTTCGTATTAGTAAACTTACCGCCGGCTACGGACCACCGTAGGGTAAGTCGGGATGTACAATTTTTGGGGTCGACTTTCTCTAACCCCCTCTCTCCAGAGTGGAGAGACAGCATAGGTGGCTGGCATGCTGGTCATCTGAGGGAAACACCTCACTGCTGTTACACCCCAGTTCCCCAGCAGTACGACTTCGTCCTCAGACCCCCCAGCAAAGTGTAAGAAAGATTCTTACACAATGCCGGTAACTGCTTTTAGTCTAATCACTATACTAACAATCTTCCTGGCATAGTAGGACCAGCCAGTGTCGCTTGTTGGGTCATCGCGATGTGCAAGCCCCATCACCACGTCAAGGTAGCAGCTATCGGTCGGGGATGAATTCATATATATTCACAGTTAATCAAAAAGTCAGGTGTTATCAATCAAGAAATCCAGGTAGTTCCCACCAGAAATCCACAGCTGTTAGAAAACTATTAAAGGTTAAGTAGTTCTGGAGCACACGTTTATCATAACTGCAGAAACTCCAGTAAAGCACACTTCTGACCTAAGAGAAAACCGAACCCAGCCAGTCTACATTTACTGCTTCATGATTTTTAGCTCTTGTAAATTTTCTGTATACAGCTACTGGCATAGAATACCATCCAAAAAAGCCCAAATTTTGATATCCGAATTACTCAACCCCACCAATCACGAGCTGAAGAAAATACATTTTGAAAACATACACTTGTGAGAAATTACTTTGAATGATTAGATATCGAGCTAAACAACAACAAAAATTACGAGACACACGAAGGGTTTCATTCATAGCACTTTAAATCACTACAGCCAGGTCATAAAAATCAGTCGTCTATATTTTGTTTTGTTTTCTGTTACTTTCATTCATTATCATTAATTTACTAGCAGACTTAGTATAATACGGGCATAAAGGAAGAGAATATGCTAGAAGATTCATGAATACTTTTGAACACTTTACGCATTCACGAAATCGTAAACTCAGTAGAGTGGTTAATAAAGACAATTCAGTAAAGGGCTTTTTTGACATTTCCTAACTTTAATTCTGGCCTCGGTGAGATATCTTGTTTCTTAACAAAAATCACATACTATATGTCAGTCCAGTCTATCTTGTTCGATGAATGTGAGACATGGCCGTAAAACGTGAGAGGTTTAGTGGAGACTATGGACCTTTTACAATAAATGTCTATTCAGTAGTGCACATATATGTAGGAACTATAAGCTGAGTGGTGTTTAAAGTTAGGTGTAGATCACTGGTGGAGCAAATAAAACAATACAATCACTTGTAAATGTTCACTGACTGCAGTGTCTGAAACACTACAAGGCACTGTATTCTTTTCACATTTTTCATATTTGTTTACCTTAATATAATTCCTTGCTCATTAGCTTTTTTAACGTGCCATTTCGCGGTAAAGCCACATGGACAGTAGTACTTCTGTGGCGACCAAGCACTGAAGCTTTATACTTGTTTTTAATTTCCCGTTGATATATCTGACTGTGTGACCTATTAGCCAAGTGGATAACGTCTGGTGTTTGAAGCGCTGGGTATTGCGTTCGAGTTTCAGCGGGAACAACAATTACCTAATGAGGAAAGACTATATCTAGTTGGCGAGTCCCGAATAAGACGAAACGCGCGTCCCGAATTCTACCGCTCCCCACCACCAAACAATTTATCAAATTTTGCATTGGTTGGTTTAGTAAATATCAAAATAAAAAAACTATATGAAAATAGTATGGTTATATGTTGTAAAAATCCATAAAACGAAGAGAAATAGAAGTACAAGAAGGTTTAAGATGCTACTATACAAACCTCTTGACCGCCGCCTACGGTTAGGGGTGCACCAGCCCCCCGACCATCCTGATTATAATTAATTATAATTATAATTAAAGCAGTAACTAAGTAGCAGAGTGAATGGTTTCTCATATTTTTTAACAACTTCAATACCATCAGTTGTGCGCGAATTACTCGATATAAGCTGTGAGTATTGGAGTCCGCCAAAGCTATTCAACCATCCCAACTAACTCGAAGATAAAGTGATGAGATAGCTGGATTGCTCTAGCCTTTTTCTTAGTAACAGTTACACATTATATTCCCTGTTTTATAACAAATAAAAGAGTTTCAGGACGATATATATATATACCACTGTTCCTTTGATGATCTTCAAGGAATTACAAAATAAGCAAGTTTGCAGAAAACATCGTCTTATTACACAACTTATCATTGATACCATACAGTCTAAAGTTTATAAGAAGTATTACTAAAATTTCCAAACACACAGAATGACAAAAACTTCCGGATAAAAACAGAGAGGCAGGCAGATAAAAAGAAATGAAAAGGTTATGATTAGAATTTTCGTTAAATCAAGAAAAATTTATATAAGGCAGGTAGTTGCAGAGTTGTAAGGAAAAAGGTCGTATGGACAGAACCATAATATAAAGGAGTAACTAAAACAAAAAAATTACGAAGACGAAGGTAGAAAATAGTAAAACAACTGTAACTAATAATCAGTTAGTACCAAAGTAGGGGTGCAACCAAAATAATATTCAATTGCCAGGATTTTTTTATTTCTTTGCGTTCCCGATGAAACATACGGCTTTATACATCCTAGTGATGTTTCATTGGTGGTGGTATTTTTTCGGAAAGGGGAGGGGGAGTCTTTGCTGTCTTTACTGGGATTGATACCGACTAAGTGAAGTTTGGGAGTGTGTCTGTTGGGAACTGAACTCAGACCATGTACGCGGCGCGTCACGGATAGCGTTTCCGAAAGGCTGCTGCAGACTTTGGCCTACAGATAGCTTCGCTCCATACTGAAAATAGGATGGTCAGTCGCAAAGGGGATAAGCGACAAGAAACCTTATCAGGCAAAGAACCAGACAACAGCCTACTGCCCAATCTATGAATATGCAGAATGAAAAGGAGATGAATCGGATATAAACTGAGAGACATTCAAATGACATCAAACTCCAGGCCATCGAGTGGAAAGTGATTAGGAAGTAGGTTTCGCGTCCCAGAGTGACATGGAGATCATGTGAAGGCAGAATGAAAGCTTACGGACAATCGTGGAGACAGATAAAGAGGAGTGTAGAGAACAGGACGAAATGGACAAGTGATGCCTAAGCCCTATGTTCCACTCAGAACTTAAGGGAATAATAATGATAAAATGATAAGTAAAAATCGTATGTTACTGTGAACACAATATTCTCAACTTAATGATGTTTTGAGAGAAACTATTTTATATGACAGGACAAAATAGATCATAGTCTAGGTAAAAGGCTTTCCATGCATCGGCTGTATGAAAGATTCTCTCGATTGTCTAAATGTTTCTGAGAAATTTATCCAGATCCACAAGTCCCATAGTAAAATTCTTGTTAGGATGTTTGCTTGCAAGTGTCAATCAATTGTGATGCACGATTTACATTGCTACAAATAGAAAGAGTATCGTTAATGTACCTA